CAATTGATCGGCAGATAATTTGTGGCTCAACTCTACCACAACACTGTCGTCCGTCTCCACAAATAATTGCCGATCCATTTGAAGGAAGTGTATAGAAGAAGGTGCCAACCATTTATGCATTGGTCGCTATTATAATTTACTTATTTACATCAATTCTATTCATTCAATTTATATTGATTAATATTTAATTAATAATTAATCATATATAGTGACTAAATAATTGTCATTAAGACATTAGTTGATTAATTTATTTATTTGCCTAAATTAAATCTTATTATGCAATTTAATATTTATATAAAATACTAAACTTGACATTTAAAGACACAAATTATTCACTAGAATTAATATAAATTTAATAAACAAATATTTTAAATGTCAAGTATTTTAAATGTAAAATTATAAAACAAGTGAAACAACGTTTAATTTATTGTAAAACAGCTTTTAATCGTGAAAAAGTAACAAAACGTGTTAAATATAATCTGTTTTTCAAAATATAAATATGGTTTTGACGATTGCTTCGAAGAAAACAATATAACATTACATTAGAAACCGATGGATCGGTACATGTTATGAAAGGAGAAATACTTTACATTCGTTGTTATGGCATGCGTTCAGAGCTTACATCAAATCAATTTATTTGTAATTTTTGTGCTGCACTCTCAAAACACATCTCAACATTTAATTATTGATTTTAACAATCACACTATTTTTACATCATAATATGATTATAATATTATTATATTACTTTAGGTGATTTGGTATAATAAATTATATTTAATTATAATTATATACAGAATATAAAGTATTAGTACGATATTTATCACCCATTATAACAAAATATTAATACCATTATATGCATTGATTTATACATGCAAAAATCTAATTTATGTATAAATCTACTAATAATAAACTTTTTATTATTTTATTATGTTGGAATCTTAGATTAAATGCAATTATATTTAATAAACAAAAACAGTTTTCATGTTTTATCAAAATGATTAATATTCCTGAATAGCTATAGAATAATTATAATTACATACAATACACCCATTCTTTTAATAATATACACACAGATCCAAACATTTAAATGAATTTTCTATCATAAACTGTAAAGATAATAGACAATAGACAATACAAACAAGTGAAACATTATACTCGATATTTTGTAATCAAGTTGAAATTATTTGGATCTAATAATGATATTTTTAATTATAAGTCTTTTAATGGTATCGTTAGCTGAAGGACAGCGCAAAGAGATGTTCAAAATGGAGAGTCAATACGCGTCCTCTTTGTTTAGGACAAACCGAATGTTGGAAGGGGTGCCACAATTGGTCACGTATTACAATGTGTCCACTGTTTCTCATTGTGTTATTACTTGTTTGAAACACATGTCTGGCTGTAAATCATTGAATTGGGGCTCAGGAGGAGAATGTACTCTACTCTCTGACTCCATCTGTGCTAACGAGACGTTGGAATTAACAGAAAAACATGGCTTTGCTTATTATGATTTGATGGATGCTCCAGAATTTGAGGTATTAATACACTTTTATTAATTATTTTATATAACAATTTATATAATATTAATTAAAATTGCAAAATGGCAAACAGAGAAAACATTTAAAAGATGAATATTGTCGACAATTTGGCAAATGTTCGGGACGTTGTTATCCACGGAAACGTAATTTACATCACTTTTTGTACAAATATTAAGTTTGAATAAAACTAATTTTGTAAAAATCCAAAGCATATTATGTGGACACAGCCATGACTTGGGATGAGGCCACGAGATTTTGCAATGGACTCAATCGAGCTCTACCACAACCACACAGTTTGGATGAAAATGCATTTTATGCACAATTCATTAGAAATTTACTTCAAATTCATTCTAATATAAGAAATGATAAAAATATGAAATATTGGTTTGGATTAACAGATAAAGATATTGAAGGCATTTGGATGTATGCGGACAACACTCCTGTATCTGACAGTTTCTCTGCCTGGGCTTTGGGACAGCCGGACAACGGCGGGCCCTTTGGTTCGAGTAAAGAAGATTGCGGTGTTATCGGAGAAAAGGGTGATTTTAAATGGTTTGATGTTCATTGTAACATCAAATTAAAATTCTTCTGCGCATAAATTACACCATTTAGTTATTATATTATCATATATTTTAATTGCATACTGTATGTTACTGTATATAAAATATGTTGCTCATATTTTTATGCTTTAATAATGTACAGTATCTATAACTTAAAGACTTTAAGCGAGTACTTATGTCATTTAATATTTATATATTACCGGTATAAAACTAATTTTTAATATTAACGTTATTGCAATCTGTTGGCGTTACGTGATACAAGTTATTGCAATTGCCATAGACTTAGCATTACCCATGTTAAAGTATAACCATAGACTTAAGCTGTAATCTCATGTGAAATCCCATAGAGCAGGGGGCGGAGGGGGAGGGGCAGAACTATCCTATAAACCACACTATTCATAGCTGAATTGTAGTTAAAAATATCAACTGCGAGAACCAAATGCTAAAATATTTTCACTTTGCACAAATGGGTTTTTAATGTATTATAATACATAATATTAAAGATAATAAAGATATTAATATTATATAAATAATAAAATATTAATAATGATGTTCAGAATATGTATTTATTCTTGGTCAAATATGTTATATAATATTTATGTATTAGTAATACGGTATAATATTACAAATCTTTACTAAATTGCACAATATTTCAAAGCTATGAATGTTGAATATAATATTTATAAATAATAACACAAATAAAATTTAAATTCTTAGATTTAATTACTGTGTAATTTTGATGTTTTAAATTTCAATAAAATTTGTAATACAGAATAGCAAGTGACTTATAATTTAAAAATAAAGAGATAGTAATGAACTCATAATACAATTGTTTGTATAATGTAATGGCAGTCGACTGTATTTACATAATTATAATTATAACCTAATTATAACTTTAAATTAAAAAATAGTTTTGATGTCAATATAAAATAGTAGATTTTAAGAGCAAATATTTTATCCGCAAATTAAATGATTAAAAAATGTGTAAAAATTTAATCTCATTTTAGTTTATATTAAACAACAAGTGTTGTCTTTAACATGAGCATAAGTTTTAATTTAATTTCACAAAATTTGTGTTCAAATTAAGTTATATAAAAAATGTACAATTTAATAATTTATTTTACGCTAATATTATGGATTTCGGAACAGAGTTTGGGCAAAAAACCGATGGGTTTGTAATAAATTATTTTATTTTATTTAATTATTTTTATTTTAAAATAAGAATTCCTATAATATATAATACACTTAAAGGCTCAATAAATATGCGGCCAAAGCCTATTGAAAGGCCAGTTTCACATAACCAAGTGGTGGACCCGAAGCGTCCGATTAAGAGTTCTGTCACTACCTCTGGCTATTCACACGAAAATACAACCAAATTAGATAACACCGATTGGATGAGCCATATATCAGACTCTACTCGTCTCATAGACTTATCACTTCCCGGCACTCACCAGACAATGGCTCTCTATGGCGGTGATATCGCTCAGTGCCAGTCTTTGTCATTAGAGACACAACTTAGGGCCGGCATTCGTGTACTAGATATCCGGTGTACACATCATAATAATGTACTCAAAATACAACACGAAAGTTATGATCAAAAGGCAGACTTGAATCAAGTGATTACTATTTTGGTACAGTTTTTGACACACAATCCAACAGAAGTTATATTAGTAACGGTTCGCGAAGAATACAAACCAAATGTAAATAACCAGTCGTTTGAGGACACGTTTCGTAGTTATGTGGCACAGGATTTGTTTGTGCCTTTTATATGGGATCCCAATTCGTTGAATCCAACTTTAGGTGAAGTTCGGGGAAAGATTGTGTTTATACAAGATTTTGTGGGCAGAAAATCCATTGGTTTAGACTATAAATCGTTTGACACTCAAGACGACTACGAAATCAAAACCATTTTCAGATTATATGATAAATGGGAAAAAGTTAAGAAACAACTCGTAAAGGCTGATAAACATAAAGGAGAAGGGTACTTTGTCAATTACTTGTCTGGAAACACAGGTTATTTGGGGAGATTGCCGTTGTTTGTGACCCCATATTTCGTGGCCAGCGGTCGCTCTGACCACAGAACTAATTCCCCGCTAATGCTTACCGGAAGGACAACATTAATTAGTCGCGATGTTTATCCGGACTTTCCCCGAGTGTACTGTTTGGGCAGTTTTTGTTTAGTAGCTTTTGAAGGAACTAATGATTTAACATTAAAATACATACAAAATGAAAAGCCAGAGTTTGTGGGCATTCTTATGATTGATTTTCCTGGCGATGCCTTAATTGATGCCATTATTAGAATTAATATCTTTTCAAATGCTTTAAATGACAAACAAAATATTGAGTTTTCCACACAATCTTCATATGAAAGCACTACAAATAGCAACGAAGCAGAAGACCAACAAATGTCTGTCTCATCGCAAACATTATCATCAAATATGAGAGAAGAAATTGAAATAAAAAATCCGAAACCCAACCAAAAGTATAACTCCCGACAAAAATTCAATGCTGATTCAAATACAGTAAAACCAGTGACAGTTAACAATTTGTTTAATCCTACCTTTGAATCTCATATAAGTTTAAATCAGCCCTTAATAGTGGGTCCAAATAAGACGGTAGAGATTAATCAAAACTCCAATAAGCCTTTGGATCCCAACAAACCATTGGATTCAATAGAATTTAATGACCAAACAGTAGAAGACAAGGAAATGATTGATTTAAGCGATAATTCCGATTCCAGTGATTCCGAACGACCAGAAAACTCGGCTTCAGATCAGACGTTGCCATTAAACCAAATTTTAGGGCCAATGAATGAAAACACCAATTTTCAAAATTATCATAACATAACTGATTCAACTTTGCAAGAGATTGTTACGCAAGTCTCTATCGATAATATCTAATTGTATAACAATATGTTTAACTAAATATGACATGCCAGATATAGCATTTTTAGAACTATTGTTATGTGTAACTAAGTGTTATATTTAAGCTTCAAAAATGTTTTCCTTAAATTATAGTTCACCTGCATACTTTTTATAATTTATTATGTAGTGATTTTAACCTTATTATCAAAATAATAATTTTGTAATTTATTAATTTGTTATATGTTGATAATTGTAAATAATTTACCAAATCTCATTAAAGTGCGTCTATTAGGGTTATAAAAATACAAAGCTTGTAAAGCTTTATATATACACCTTATCCTCCATTTAGTGAGACTCGATATAAGGATACTTCGATTTAAGGGAGAGTTTTTTTGCTGCACAGACCGCTCCTATGAGAGATTAACATTAAATAAAAATATTGTGAAAAGTACTTAAAATACAAATGAGAAAATCAAATGAGGCAAAAATATTCTGTAACGAAAACAAAAGTATTCTTATTATATCTACATCTATATGTAATACTGTTTTGACTTTTTGTAGTTCAGTATAAGTTACTAAACATGTTTCCATTGGAGTTAATAAATTCAAAACTCTTATTTGTAAGAT